AAATATGGGTGAAGACATCTTTATGGTTCTCTGAGAAAATTAGAGATAATGTCCAAGTACTTGGAAAAGCATCTATAATCTTTATTCATAGTCATCACTTCTGAAGATTTAGGAGGTCTACCCTGATTAAACCTGATCAATGTCATTCCTTAAAAAATTCACAGAATTTAGTCTGCTGTGGAAACAAAGGCAAAACCTTTTCTCAAAAATATTTTTTATTTCCATTTAACAGATTTGACTCATATTTTAAAATTAAGATAACTTGACAACAAAAGACCAAATAATCTAAAAATCGGGTACAGTCCTAAACAGAAAACTCTGAGCAGATGAATCTCAAAGGGCTGAGGGACACATAAGGAAATGCTCAGCATAATTAGCTATCAGAGAAATGCAAATTAAAACAGCTCTGAGATTCGATCTTATACCTGCCAGAATGGCCAAGAAAAAAAACACTGTTGAAAGCTTATGCTGAAAAGAATATGGGATAAGGACAACACTTCTCCATTGGTGGTCTTGTAAACTTGTACAATTGCTTTGGAAATCAGTATAGTGATTTCTCAGATAATTAGGAAACAATTTAAGTAATAAAATTTGGTTAATTTAAGTGATAATGGTGAGCTAAAAATACACTTAAGATATTGGTCAAACAGTATTGCAAATAATATGGTTTCTGAGTGTTTATTTTTGTGCTGAGCAGCTGGAAACCAACTAAATGCTTCCACCATCAAACCTAGAGACCCCTCAACTGAAGAATAGATAAAGAAAATGTGGTAGATTTATACAATGAAGTACTACAGAAAGGTAAATTGTAATGGCATCTTGAAATTTGCAGGTAAATGGATGGATTTAGAAAAAACATTGAGTGAGGTAACCCAGACCAAGAAAGACAAATATAATATGGACTCACTCAAAAGTGGCTCTTAGTCATCAAGCAAAGAAAATCCAGCCTAGAATCTACAACCCTGGATAAACTAGACAACAGAAGTCCCTAAGAAAGACATACATGAATCTACATTGGATGGTGGAAAAGACAAGATCTGAGTAAATCAGGAGTGTGAGTGTCACAGGAGAGAGTAGAAGGAGAGAGGAGTAGAAAGAAGGGGAGTGAAGAAAAATGTAAAGCTCAATAAAAGCAATAGTAACAAAAAGATAACCCAAAATACCTAAATTGTTTCAATTTTGTAGTGCTGTTTATAATACCATGCCTTCCACCAGCTATCTGGTGCCCATCAGCCATCAAAAAGGTCAGAATCAACACAATACAATACAGGATCTTGACTCCTTGTGTATTTCTTATCTGTACATGACTTTTTACATTTCTATTAGTGTTAGTATCTTTTAAAGACTTTACTACTTTTAAATATATTTCTATAAATGCCTATACCTATTGTCTTTGCTTTCTAAAGCCTATGCAAATTGTAAAATACACTGGAAACATTTTACAGGTTTTTTTTTTCAATCTGAACCTGTTTAACTGAATATCATTTAGCCTTTTTGACAACATAAGTCTTTACTGTGCAGCATTGACCTCCATTGGTAAGTTGGCTGAAGGCTCCTCCTGCTTCTCTATTTATGAAAACCAACCATTAAGCTTGCAGCCATATAGAAATTGTGTTTCAAGAACTACATTCTACCTTCATATTGCTGGGAATCTGATTCTTGTGATGCTTGCAGACTTTTTTTATGGTTAGAATTTTCATATACCTACTGATCAAGGGTTTCTTCTATAAGGCAGAAACTCTTTTTTTTTAAATATTTATTTATTATGTATACAATATTCTGTCCGTGTGTATGACTGCAGGCCAGAAGAGGGCACCAGACCTCATTACAGATGGTTGTGAGCCACCATGTGGTTGCCGGGAATTGAACTCAGGAGCAGGCAATGCTCTTAACCTCTGAGCCATCTCTCCAGCCCAAGGCAGAAACTCTTAAGCCATGAATTTTGAGCCCCACATTGGGCACTAAAATGTACGCAGTTGATTTAGCTCTTTGGGAAACCCTGACACCCACTTTAAATAAATCACAGAGCTTTATTATTACTTATTACTCTCTGGCCTTAACTTGGTTTGTTTCTAGACATTTTTTTTAAATTTATTTATTTATTAAGGATTTCTGCCTCGTCCCCGCAAATGCTTCCCATTTCCCTCCCCCTCCCCCGCTCAAGTCCCCCTCCCTCATCTGCTCGAAGAGCAATCAGGGTTCCCTGACCTGTGGGAAGCCCAAGGACTGCCCACCTCTATCCAGGTCTCATAAGGTGAGCATCCAAACTGCCTAGGCTCCCACAAAGCCAGTACGTGCAGTAGGATCAAAAACCCACTGCGATTGTTCTTGAATTCTCAGTATTCCTCATTGTCCGCTATGTTCAGGTAGTCCGGATTTATCCCATGCTTTTTCAGACCTAGGCCAGCTGGCCTTGGTGAGTTCCCAATAGAACATCCCCATTGTCTTAGTGTGTGGGTGCACCCCTCGTGGTCCAGAGTTCCTTGCACGTGCTCCGTCTCCTTCTGCTCCTGATTTGGGCCTTGAGATTTCTGTCCGGTGCTCCCATGTGGGTCTCTGTCTAGACATTTTTTAACATAAATTATTCCATCAATCTTTTGCCTCTAGCTTTTTATGTTTTTCTATTCTATATACCTTTCTTGAACTCTTACTCTTTAGCTTGTTGTGTAGCTGGTTGGCTGGCCACTGGTGCCCTATCTTTTTCTTGTTCCTCCCTCCTACTTCCTCCCAGATTTCTCCTCATTTTTATTCTCTCTGCCTTCCAGACCCTCATATCTTTTCCTAATAAGCTATTAGCTGTTCATCTCTTTGTCAGCAAAATCAGGTGCGTAAGACAAGCAAAGCATCAGAGCTTCACAGAGTTAAAAATTTCAGCATAAAAGAATACAACAGATCTTTGCATCATTGAAAGAATTTTTCCAGAACTTAGGTAAATAAAACTTACCTTAAAATAATATTTTGCAATAGCCTGGATTGCATTTTGAGACCTCAAGATATTGAGATACTTAAGCAATGAGGCATCTTCCATGGAGAGCAAGCTATCTATAGGGATTGAGGGTAATCAAAGAGAGTGATGTATGAAAAGTTACAGGGATAAGATTATCTCGGTCCTTTGAAACAGAAGTTGCATGCATCTGAGCTAGAGCATCAGGATTGGATGTTTGTGCTGCTGTGCTTCAGTTTTGCCTTGGTCCAATCTTCCCTCGGTGTGTCTCCATTTTCCTCTTTTGGAATGTGGTAATGGTATTTGATGTCATTATATGTTTCAAAGATGTAACACATTTTCTGATTTTACAAGATGTCAGTCTCAAGAGATTGTCTTCAGTGTCACAGAAGACTTTGGACATTTAAACATTGTATGCCCCATTTGCAGAGTATGGGGATCTTTGAGGTGACTACAGTATATTCTTCATGGATGACCATGGTCATATAGTAATTGATTAAATTAAACACCTCCCCAAATAGGAAGATGCATGTGAATATGTACCATTTGTTGGTGACTTTCTGCTGATTGTTTTTGAAATCATTAGTAGAAGGAGACTTTCTGGATGGAATTCCTCATTGGAGATGTGATCTGAGTCTCTCAACCTATTTCTTGTTCTTTGTGTACTGTTTTATATTTGATACTAATCAGTAAGCTTCCTTCTTGTGCAGTCATGCCTTCACCACTATTATAGTAGTGTTACATAACATTCAGTATAAATTATTGTTATTCTGTTATAAGGTAGTTTAGTAGCCTGCTGTTTGAATCTTCTTGTTTGTAGGTTTTTGTCCATGTAGCCCTAACATTTTTTAAAAGTAGTTCTGTACACCAGGCTGGCCTCAATCTCAGAGTTTCTCTGACTCTGGATCCCAAATGTTGTGATTAAATGTGGGCCAACATTCCATACTTTTGTTTTTATATTATTGATTGATCGTTTTATCTCTGTCAAACATATGACGTTGTATTGAGATTCCCCCATATCTTGAATATAGAAAGTTTTAAGAGGGTATCATTTTGTTTTCCTGAATGGCATGTATTTATGATATTAATAATGCATGAGCTGTCTGAGACATTGGATTCCTGTAATGTTTGTTTTGAAATTTTTTATTGTATATGAGAATTTTCCTGTATGCATATATATGAACCATAGAGGTACCTGGTTCTCACAGTGATCAAAACATAATCCCAGATACTCAGAGCTTGAACTAATAAATAATTGTGGTTCCCTTTTCAGTACAGATAATCGAAGACTCCTATATGCAAGCAAGCGAGTTCCCCTTATTTTGAGCCCTCTTTCTTGCCCTGTGTTGCTTACTTGTTATCAACATTTATATTGCTAATGTTTTCATGTCTCAATTTGTAACTTTTTAAATATACAGTTCCTTTAGTAAAGTTTTATTGATTTTACAGTTTAAATTAGCACACTTCAGGTTTTGGGAAGAGGAATACAGAGCTGGAGTTAATGCATAACTCTTTGGAATTTCACCAAACACCTATGTATTTTTTCTATGATTTTTTGTTTGTTTGTTTTTGCCTGATTTTTGCATAGATAATAGGTTCTTAATATGTAATTCTGAAGTCCTGGACATGATTGATTAAACTTTTACAGCATTTAAGTGAGAGGCCTCTGCCTTCTGAGTGCTGGAATTAAAGGCATGAGCCAATGTATCAAGCTTGCCCATCTTGTTCTTTGTTTTTGTATGCAGTAATTAATTGTTCATTCAATTTTTCCTATGTGTCCTCTGTACTTCTGATCTGTTTACTTGTCTCTATGTTTGTTTATAGAAATTTCTCTTGTAGGTGATATTCCATTCAAGGGGTATAGAAATGATAGAGGTGAACATCATCCTATTTAGTTTCCTTCAAAAGTTACTTTGGTGACTGAATTAAAATGTCTATGGTATGAAATAATTGGGGGTAAGCCACAGAATTATGTGAGTATACTGTCAAAGAATTATACATTTACAATGTTGTCCTCATCATGCTTTCTATTGTACATGTATATTGGAAAATTTAGGATGCAGTGACCTATGATGATGTGCATATTGATTTTACTTGGGAAGAGTGGACTTTGCTGAATTCTTCCCAGAAGAATCTCTACAAAGATGTTATGCTGGAGACCTACAGGAACCTCACTATTATAGGTAAGACTGAATTTCCTCTTATGTTTCAAAATAAGGGAACAACAGTTCATTGGTTATTGATGTTCTTCTCTAATTTTATTAAGAAAGGAGAACCATTGATTGAATAAATCAGGCATGGTTCTAAGGTTCAGGGAAGAGAGTAACTAAAATTTTACATCATTTTCAATATTACATTTATTTTCTGATATTATATTTTAGGATACACTTGGGAAGACCGTAATATTGAAAATCATTCTCAATGGTCTAGAAGATATGAAAGGTAACTTTCATGGGCAAGCTGATACAAATGTTCCTCTGGAGAAATTGTAGTGTGTATTGGAAGTTTTAAACAAAAACAATGTAATAAATAATGACACTTTATGTGCATCAATGATTATTACATTGTCACAAAACCATGTACCTCAGTGTCAGCTGTATGAATTGCATTTGAACACCATGCTTTTAAGAAAGAAGCTAAGTGTCCTAAGAGATATCACCATTTGAGACATAGCATTATGAGAGCTATGCTATAGAATTGTCAATCAATTTTTTCATACCACTCATATTACAAAAATTATAAACATTGAAATGGTGATAAGTATGTCTCCAAGAGTTTCTAATATGCAAATAGTACATATTGAAGCTTATGTGTCTCATATACTTGATGTGATTGTACTAAGTTTATTGAGGGTTCAATTAGAGTAAAGAGTAAAGGGGAACTTGTGGCCAAACCTTAATCGCTATACTAAAAGTCAATGATTATAGAGGGTCAAACTCTGTTAATTCAATTGGAATCTTTTTATTTAATTTTCCTTTACTAGGTACATCATATGTCACTCTGGATACAAGGCTTATGAGCATAGAGATATGGAAAGACATAACATACTTCTCTCTCAGAGTAATTAGAAGATATGTAGCAGTCCACAGGTTAAGCATGCTTGTTGAAAATCGTTCAAGTATTTAAGTAATTTGTTTTCTTGTTTCAATATTAATACATCAAAAAATGCACATTGAAGAAAATCCCCAAGAATACTAGAAATAAGTAATACTCCTGTTTGTCCTAGCTCACTTAGCAAATATAGTAACTTTCACAGTATAGGAAAATATATGAATACAATAAGGATATTAAAGATCTGAGCTTTTCAAATTCTCTTCAAATATGTAAAAATTTTTGTATAGAAAAATGATTCTGTAAATGTGACTCCTGTAATAAAGGATCCTACCATCAAAGGTACCTACGGTGTTTCAAAACATCTTTAGTAAATGGAAACAACATGAGTATAAATACAGTGATAAAACCTTAAGATCTAATTCCTTTTAAAAATTGGAACAAATTTAAAAATTATTTGTTACAGTTATAAAGATTCAACAGTATATTGAATGTGGTAAAACTTTTAAATATGCCATTATCTTTGCAGGCATGAAGGAAGTCAAACTGGAGGGAAAACTGCCATATACCTTCAAAGTATTAAAGCCATTGCATGTGACAGTGATCTTCAAAGGCATAAAAGAACTAATCCTAGTGAGAAACCATATGAGTGTAAGCAATATGTGAAGCCCAAAAGACATCCAAATCATAAAAGAACATATACTGGAGAGAAACCCTTTGAATGTAATCACTGTGATAAAGCCTTTGCATATCATAGTCATCTTCAAAGACATAAAAGAATACATACTGGAGAGAAACCCTTTGAATGTACTCAGTGTGGTAAAGCCTTTGCATGTCACAGTCATCTTCAAATGCATAAAAGAACACATACCGGAGAGAAACCTTATGAATGTACTCAGTGTGGTAAAGCCTTTGCATATCGCAGTGGTTTTCAGAGACATAAAAGAATACATACTGGAGAGAAACCCTATGAATGTAATCAGTGTGATAAAGCCTTTGTATGTCACAGTGGTCTTCAAATGCATAAAAGAACACATACTGGAGAGAAACCTTATGAATGTACTCAGTGTGGTAAAGCCTTTGCATATCACAGTGATCTTCAAAGGCATAAAAGAACACATTCTGGTGAGAAACCCTTTGAATGTAATCACTGTAGTAAAGTCTTTGCACGTCACAGTTATCTTGAAATACATGAAAGAACACATACTGGAGAGAAACCCTATGAATGTAATCAGTGTGGGAAAGCCTTTGCAAGTCAAAGTTGTCTTTACATTCATAAAAGAACACATACTGGAGAGAAACCATATAAATGTAATCAGTGTGATAAAGCCTTTACATATCCCAGTCTTCTTCAAAGGCATAAAAGAACACATTCTCGAAAGAAACCATATGAATGTAATCAGTGTGGTAAAGGTTTTTCATGTATCAGTACACTTCAAACCCATGTAAGAACACATACTGGAGAGAAACCCTATGAATGTAATCAGTGTGGTAAAGCCTTTTCAAGTCAGGGTTATTTTCACATTCATAAAAGAGCACATACTGTAGAAAAACCCTATGAATGTACTCAGTGTGGTAAATCCTTTGTATGTCACAAAAATCTCCAAATACACGAAAGAACCCACACTGGAGAGAAACCCTATGTATGTAATCAGTGTGGTAAAGCTTTTGCATGTAATAGTCATCTTCGATTGCATAAACAAACACATACAGGAGAGAAACCCTATGAATGTGATCAATGTGGTAAAGCCTTTGCATGTCATGGTGATCTTCAAAGGCATAAAAGAACACATAAAGGAGAGAAACCCTTTGAATGTAATCAGTGTGGTAAAGCCTTTACACGCCACAGTCATCTTCAAATACATAAAAGGACACATACAGGAGAGAAACCCTATGAATGTAATCAGTGTGGTAAAGCATTTGCACATCACAGTGCTATTAAGAGGCATAAAAGAACCCATACTGGAGAAAAACCCTTTGAATGTAATCAGTGTGGTAAAGCCTTTGTACGTCACATCCATCTTCAAAAACATAAAAGAATGCATAATGAAGAGAAAACCTATGAATGCAATCAATGTCCTAAAGCCTTTGGATATCACAGTGGTCTTCAGCACCATAAAGGAACACATACTGGAGAGAAACCCTATGAATGTAATCAGTGTGGCAAATCCTTTACATGCCAAAGTAATCTTGAAATGCATAAAAGAATACATACTGGAGAGAAACCCTATAAATGTGATCAATGTGATAAAGTCTTTGGATATCGCAATGTTCATCAAAGGCATAAAATAACACATACTGGAGAGAAACCCTATGAATGTAATCAGATCGGAAAGCCTTTGGATGTCATGGTCACCTGATGCATAAAAGAGCACATACTTGAGAAAAACCTTATGGACGTACTCAGTGTGGTAAAGTCTTTTAATGTCACACCCATCTCCTTATACATACGAGAACCCAGACTGGAGAGAAATTCTGACTAATCAGTGTGGTAAAGCTTTGCATGTAGTGGTTATTTTCAAATGTATGTAATCAATAATATAAAGCCTTTGTATGTCACAGTCATCTTGAAATGCATAAAAGAACACGTACCTTAAAGAAATCCATGAATGTAATCAGTGTGGTAGATTCTTTGCATATCTCAATGATCTTTGAAGGCTTAAAAGAACATATGCTGGAGATAAATTCTATGAATGTATTTAGTGTGTTACAGTATTTAACGTCACAATAGTTTCTGAATACATTAAACAATCTGTATTGGCGAGAAAACCTATGAATGTACTCATTGTGATCAAATTTTTGCATGTCAACAAATCTAAAAAAGAACAAATGAACACATACTGCAGAATAGATACTCTGAGGATTATTATGAATTCATATACTGAGAACTTATTAATATTCTATTCATACTCTGTCTTGATGTAATTTATTATCAGGTCACTGTACAAACTAGAGAACACATACTCTGGATTACTCTCTATTCATTTCACTCAGTGAGAATTTAATAGTCTAGTCATACTCTGTTCTGAGACATAATTCTATATCAAATCGCAGCAGAGACATGAATGCTCCCTCTCAACTGCTTGTGAAGGGCCAAAATTAGAGCCTGTTTTTTATCCTGACAGGTATTCAGGATATCTAAATGTTCTTTTCCTCCTTTTTTGTAATATGAGGTTTCCTACAAAGTGGTTGCCTTTGGAATTCTTGGTCTAGAGTGGCTTTAGTTCCTAAACAACATAATGCTAATGACTGATGCCTCAAAGTGTTAAAATAATTGACTGTTCAAGTTGTCTTTTGAATCATGTTCAAGAAGTCTTTCTTTACATTCTCGCTTTTGTTTTGGGGTATAGTACTATATGGAAAATTAAGCATGGACAATTTCAATAGTCAGAGGGATGCTCTCCCAATATTTTTATGGTTGCTGTTTTATTGTTTTGTCTTCATATTCTTTACTAATATATCTACATCCCCATGCCCATACCCTGTTAAGAGGTGTTTTTTGTTGAGGCCAGTTCCGGATATATGGTGCCCAACATGGGGCGGTCACCAGCATATGGTGCCAGAATGTGGGGCTAACTAGTGAACCCCAAAATGAACAGTACTGTAGCCAGGTATACAAGGGAGTATGTGAGGGAACCCACAAGAATACTTTGTACTAGATCCACTGCCATTGCTCTTTGAAGGTACTTTATCTACCAAGTTGTGCATGGGAGGTTTCTCTTGCTTCTGCTGATACCAAGCTAATAAATAATCAGTTTCCTCACTCATCTGTCAAGTTTTGGTAATGTTTTCTCCCAAAAATGCAAAGAGGAAAGATGGAGTCTGAGTTGTCTTTATCTTTACATCACATGTGACAGACACCTGGCATTAAAAATAGAAAGCAAATACCCACAAATGATTAACATCCCTATACTACTCGTTATTTTACAAGCTCAACAGCACTAACCAGAGCTAAGCAACTACTCACAGATAGTATAATAGCTTTAACTATTTTCTTCTATCAGTTATTTTAATTGTTACACCCATATATAGTTGATCTATTTTGAGTTAATTTTTATATCAAATGGGATATCAAAATTAATTGCCTTATTGTTGGTTAGATATCTAGTTTTGATAGCAACATTTATAAATGAGTGCATTTTCTCTGAAATTTTTGACAACTTTGTATAAAAGGATTGAGCTGTAGCTTTTTGCAGAATTTCTATGTCCTCTGTTGGGGCAGGTTATTTGTTTCCTGGCTGCTCAGACTCATTTTCTAGCCATCTCACCTTTAGGTAAGTTCAGTCATCATTTGCCCTGGCCTGCAGCTAAGTCAGCAGAGACCCTGGGGGCAAGGGAGAGAGAATGGGAAGGGACAAGAGACACAAGAAAAGGAGACAAGATAGAATTCTGATAAAGGGAATAATCAAGGGAAACGTATGGTAGGGAAAATGAGAAAGTTCTTTGTGTGTCCATGCATAACTAGGCAACTTACTAGGCAACCTTACCATGGTCCAGTGGTCAGGTGGAAAGTCTCTAACTGCAACATGCAGAAAAGTCTGAATGTTCAGAACACAGCAATAATGGAGCAATATCTCCCTGCAGAATTAGTATTTGACAAATCTGAACAGCAGAAGCCAAGCACAATAGGGTGGGCAAAACTGACTCATGGAGCAGTAAGTCTTCCAGAGTTCCCACTTTTGATTTTTATTAATTTTTACGTGCTGAAAGTCACTTTGGAGCTTCTGTCTTTGGTCAGGAAAGCTCCTGTAGTCCCACCCTTACTTGTCATAGGAAGACAACAGCTTCTGTTTCTGTTTTTGTCTTAGGTGACATGTTTAACATAGGTATACATTCTCCTGTTACCCATCTCTGGCTATAGAGCCCTGCATACCATGTTTAAAGACAATTATTTACGTACCTCGTGTACATGAGCTTACCAGCCAAACATTCTCATATTTTTCAATGTCACCCATGTCCAGTTTATGATTATGGACCTGTATGGTTTGCATTTTAGTTGCCTCATTCACCTATTGTTTTACAAATGCAATTAACATAAGAGAAAAGATCCATTGGAAAGGAAAATTAATAAACCAAGGATCAACAGTTCCTATGAAAAATGTCCTAACACCAATCCAGGAGTTCTAGGCATGACCTCAACAGGTTGCAGCATTCCAGAAGTGTCTTTTTCAAGTTCCTTGCCAGGGAGATATCCATTTTAAAAGATTTTCACAGTGACAACCTTAATTGGACTGAACATAATGATCTCTAATTGAGAAAGTAAGACATGGCCCCAAAGGTTGATAGGCAGTCTTGCAATTACATAAGGTTGAGTGGTGCCTTGATTGCCTTCTTGGTCTCTCCTTTTTAAGATTTTTGAAATCATTTTGAGGATTTTGGCTTTGACCTATACAATTTAAATGACTTATGGTAGCATCTAGAGATCATGTATCAGATCAATCATCCTTTTTGATGATTGTGACGTCTGCCCCTGTGTCTACCAATCTTGAAATTTCTTTTCATTTAACCATAAGGTCATAAGAGGTTTTGGTGCAGATATTACTTTTGACCAATAGTCATCTGAAGACCCAAAACATTTATTGTTTCTAGAATTACAACTTTATTTGAAGTGGTAATAAGGGAAGAAGTAGTCATTGAATGAATCTCTGTCTGGAAGAAATTGTAACAATATTTTGGGGGGGATGACATCATAACTTCAATTTCTCCCAGATAATTATTATCAATAACTCCTGGGAAAACTTGAAGGTGATTGATGGTAGAGATGATATGACCTACTATAAAAACAAAAGTATCTTTAGGTAAAGGGCCAAAAATGCCTATGGAGAGGACTTGAACTCCCATCTTAGGTATTAGTACTGTATGGGTGATGGAACTAAGGTCCAGTTCTGTGCTCCCTGTTGTGGCTCTGAAGAGGTCTGAAATGGATTGTTGTTTGTTGGATAAAAGTTGACTGTCCCAGAGATTTGTTTGGGTTTGGGGTCCTGGGGCTGGCTCCTGTCCCCATTTCACTGGTTCAGAGGTTGACCCTGGACATCCCTCTTGGACTTACATTTACTAGCCCAATGTTTTCCTCATTTACATCAGGGACACAGTTCTGGTATAGATGTTCTTGGGCCAGCAGTTGTATTATTTTTGCAATCTCTGGCAAAATGTCCAAATTCTCCAAATTAAAACATTTACTTTTATTTTGTTGTGACAAGAATTGATTTACAACAAATCCCTGTATCACAGCAGCCATTACAAGACATTGAAGATAGGCAGCTCCTATGTCTGAGCAAAGGCTTATATATCCTGTCAGGTCCATTTTCTTTTTATATGGATGGATAGCTAACTGATATGCAGCATTAGCATTTTCAAAGGCCAATTGTTTAACAAAATCTGTGCCTCAACATTGACCAAAATTGTTCCTGCTGCAGTGATTAGCCTATGGACAAAATCAGCAAAAGGCTCATCTGTTAGAGCTCATGTTTCTCTTAACTGGCAGTTTTCTCCAGGCTCATGTAGCTGTGATTTGAATCTGGGCAAAAAGTCCCATAGCATAATTACCTTAAGCATCAGTAGTAGCATAATTATCTTTCCCAATTAGCATATCCAAGGTCCACCCATTTCCAGCCTGTACATTACATCTGGTAATCTTTGCTTGCCTCAACAAACTCAGACTTCCAAAGGAGATAGTCAACTCCAGTGAGGGTTGCTCTAGCTAGAGTTTGCCAGTCTCCAGGCATAAGCCAATTTTTCAGCCACAAACTCAACAATTGCTGTGGTGTAAGGAGCTGAAGCTCCATATTGCAAAACAGCTAATTTTAATCTTTAATCAGTTTAAAATCAAAATTTATACACTGTTCCCTGAGTATCCACAGTTCGTGTGTCCAGGAAGGATTCTAGATCATCTATTTTTAGTGATTTGTTTATTTTAGGAGAGAGTCTGGGTGTAGCCCCTCACATGGGTGTCTGATGGTTAAGCCAACTGTCTCATGGGACTTCATTATTAGTTTTTCCTGTATTTAATCCCTTCAATTGGTTACTAAATCCTGATTTTCCTGTTCTAATTTTATCTATTCTCTTAAGAATTTTATTTTATCGTGAAGTTTTTTTGGGGGGTCTACTACTGAACAAGCCAATGGAGGTGCTGTTGGGACTGAGCTATATGTTAGAGGGCGACATGCAAGTGATGGCCAGCATGAATTGTGATATCTGGCTGCTTCCTCCTCTAAATCATCCTAGTCCTTCTCACTCAGATCATCCTGTAAACGAAGGAATTCTTTTAAAGATGGATATAGTTTCTTAATCTTAGATCTAACTTTTGGAGTTTTTTTGTGCTTTTGACTTAGATGTGGGGAGAAGATCTTTATTTGACTCTTTAGTTTCCTGCAGGGAAGGCTTAACTTTAGGATCCTCTAAGTTTGGATTCTTTTTGTCAGATGTTTTAACATCACTATCAAAGGACATAAAGTTCTCACTTTCTTTTTCCTTATTCTTCTTGACACCTTGTGTGTCATTCTTTTGGTTAAGGTTTTTTTTGTGCATCTTGTCTAACTCATTTTTAATAATATTTCTTCACCTGTTTCAATAGCATTTGCAACTACAGAATCTTGATACCTCTGAGACAAAAGTTCATCAATTAAATTCCAGAAAGAAAAGGCAGTTACAGGAATTTTTCTGGTCCATATGCTTGATAATGATCTTTGAGAGCCTCTCCGACTCTCTTTCATTTTTTTCTCATCTGTAGTTTCATCAGTTGAAAACCAGGGACAAACATCTTTAATATAGTCAAATAATTCACATGACTGTTTAATTTTAACCTTTACACCTTATGCCTTAAAAACATGTCTTAATCCACTAATAAGCATTTCATGCTTGGTAATTGCTTGTCCCATAATTGCTGTTCTACTTACCAAAGTTAAGAAGACACAGCAGGCTCCTGTGTTACTCTTCCTCTCAACTAACTGTACTTCACTTTATGCCAGCCTCTCTGAACAGTGTTCTTCACTGAATCCCCTGCACTTGAGCCCTATGTTGGTAGCCACTTTGCCCCTGCCCATGGGTGAGTCAATGGAGACCCTGGGGACAGGGCAAGAATGGGAAGAGACAAGAGACATGAGAGATGGAGACAAGACAAGATTCTGATCAAGTCTTGTTTATTCAGGGCACAATCAAAGTAAATATAGGGTAGGGGAAATGAGAAAGTTCTTCATGTGTATATGGGTAACTAGACATCCTAACCACTGTCTAATGGTCAGGTGGAAAGTCTCTAACTGCAACATACAGAAAAGTCAGAATGTTCAGAACACAGGAATAATTGAGCAATAACTCCTTGCAGAGTTAGTATTTGACAGATTAGAACAGCAGACGAAGCCCAGCGCAATAGGGTGAGCAAAACAATCCAGAGAGAAGTAACTCTCCCAAAGTTATTTTTCTGTGGGTCCTGAATGTCCAGGATATAGTATTCATATGCATACTATGAAGCAGTCCAGACAAAGGAGGTTTCTTGCCCCAAAAGCTAGAAAATTCTTAAGGACCTCTTTGATATCCATCATCCTTTTGAGGTAAAATGATGCTGCCAGGAGCAGATGTGTCTCATTGTCATGCCAATGCTAAGTTCTTAAACATTTTAAATTCCATATTTTGAAGGTCTCTGAAAGATTTGAAGAAAATCTATCTAA